AGCTCAAGGCACGTTCCTAGCAGTCCCACCCCATTTGTGATTTGTACACAGCCCCCAGCCAGTGACACACCCCCTGTCTGGGAAGCTGCCCAGAGATGGAGGAGGAGATGCTGGGGTCAGTCCCACGTGGATCCAGGAATGGCTGAGCACAGCAGCCCTGTGCCTGTGGAGGCTCAGGGAGCAGCACACACCTCCAAAGTAGGATCCATCAGCCAGCTTGGTCTCCTTGTTGCCCTTGGTGAGGACGCTGACCACGCCGTGCTGGATGAAGTACATCTTCTTGCCGATGGTGCCCTCCCGGATGATGTAGTCCCCGGGCTGGAACACCTCAAACTTCAGCTTGGTCAGCATGGACGTCACAAAGTTGGGGTCTGCATTGGCAAACAGGGGCATGGAGGCCACCAGCTTGCGGCAGTTGAAGTTGATGATCTCCTGAGCAGGGGGGGTGTGAAGGAGAGAGAGGAAGAGGAGAGGACACATATGTTAGTCAGCACATAATGACCTGTGAGGATCCCCACTTGACCTGTGCATTTAAAGTGGAATAAAATGGCTGTGCCTTGGTGTGGCTGGATGGGCTCTGGATGCTGGAGCCAGCGGCACACTCACTGCCTTCACCCCTCTGCCTCCCCTGAGCAGGGACAACACTCAAACCTCCCAAACAAACACAGCATTCCTGTTTCTGCAGGAAACCTTGGGCTGTGAGGGAGCACAGCAGCAGTGAAATGCTGTCTGACAAAGCCCAGGGCTCCTCTGGGCAGGTGTCATAACTCACCTTGGCAGCCCCTGGTTTTCTGCTGCCCTTGCTTGTCAATGAGCTGTAGAACAGCACAAATGTGCCCAGGAGGAGAACGATCCCGGGCAGATGGGGACAGTGTCAGGAGAGGAGGGAGAGGAGCTCACCAGGCACTGGGTAGGGCTGGATCATCAACCCTGGCTGCAGAAAGCCCAGCTCAGCTCTCAGCTGTCACCACAGCCAGGCTGTGCCTCCCCTGGGGCTCTGTGTCACTCGCAGGGGTGACAGCTCAGGAGCTGCTCTGTGCCCCAGCAGCCCCCACTCAGGACGTGGTGCTGAGCTCATCACCCAGCACAGCACTCCATGAACAGGGATAACTGGAGCAGGAACAGAGAGAGCTGGGGAAGCATCTGTGTTCCCCCATGGGGGTTTTCAGAGGGGTCCCCTTTGAGACTTCAGCAAAACTAGTTTTAAATCCCGGCTGGCACTTGCTCAGCTTTTCTCTCTCCCATGGAGGAACATTGCTGAGGGACAAAGACAGAAGGCAGGCCCCTTCTGGAGCTGGTGGGTGACACACTGGTGACATCACAGGGACAACCTGCATTGCCAGGCTGCAGCTAAGCAGGAAAGGGGGCTTCTCTGAAGGCTCCTCCTTCCTATGACCCCCGGGTGAGTCGGGCATGGATGATGCCAGCACTCCATGCCAAGTTTTAGCCAAACACATGAGCTGGGAGCTTCCTGAACCCCTGGCCCAGGAGCTCCAGAGCTGCCAGAGGTGCTGGGAACGTGCCCTGCCCCCTGGCTGCCCTCTTACCTCCCGCAGGGGCTCGCTCAGCTCCCCCAGGATGCTCTCCTCATCGAACATCTTGCCCTGGTAGCGGTGCTCGTAGTAGTCGTGGATGCGCTGCCGCATGTCGGCGGGCAGCTTGTGGAAGGACATGT